ACCGTAAGATTTGATAAAGAGAAACCAATCGTTGAGATATTGTCAAAAGTCTAACACTGCTTCTTGATGCCAAACTCGGCATACGGATTCTAACATCAGCCCAACGCATTGAAACGCCATTGAAACGCCAATGAATTCACTTCGGCCTATCGGATTAAGATGAAAATTGATTCGGTCGGAGCGCTTCTTTTGTTTTTGGGAATAATGGGTGCAAACCTTCATATCACGCGTTCTAATTGACTTCATTCGGTAGCTTATTAACTAAAGTATCGTACCAAACGCATAATTGACTTGTTAACTCTGAAATCGTGGATTTATTTGAAGTTTTCTGCTGCACAGGCCCAAAATGGGCGATTAGGCCGAAGTAGTTCTTTACCCTACGTAAATTTGCTTTGCTTGACACTATCGGCTTGACACTATGTACCAAGGGAACACCCTAAGCACATCTATACCCAGGAGAACCCCCTCAGGGTTCACCGAAAAAATCTAAACCACGTTACTCGGGGAGTCCACTTCAGGGTCTCTCGGAGATGAACCAGCCTACGGCTAAAAATCTCCTAAAGAAAAAAAAAAAAAAAAAAAAAAAAAAAAAAAAACTATCGGTTTTGGCACAACAATTAGGTTGCTATGTGTATATGATTTTGAGCAACACGAGTTACTCAGAGTTACTCAAAATTAGCTCCGATTTTACTCATGATCAAAAGCTGTCTCGCTCAAAGTATGGGTGTATCTTCACTGAAACAACTACGGGTAATCATCGAAAGTGCTTGCATTTTACTCAGGCCCTTTTGAGCAAACTGCAATCACTCTCTCATACTCGAAATATGCCACGACCAAATTGCTACAACGACGCAATACACACACTATCTGAGCAAAGCGCAGGGTGAAGCGTTCCAAGTGAATTTATAGAACCATTTCATAAGAGTATCGGGAGAATACAAAGCGAATGCTGAGATTGTCCAAGTAAATTTTTTATGAGAAATCTTCGTTGAATATAAAATGGACTTGGTTTCCGTTGAAATGGTTTCCGTCAAATCGTTTTGATGTCTTCGGAAGCACTTATTGCTTGCATCATAAGGAATAAGTGCACTGAAGACACCAAGACGATTAGACGTAAACTTTTTACTAAGTGAAAACGCGCTTATTAGTCCAATTTGGTGTGAAATGCGCAATATGTTTTTAACTTATTTACTATGCTCCCCATAGAATTTCATGTAATATTATTAATAACATTCATGGTTAAACCACAGACAAACAGACGTAACACATTGAATATTTCTCACTGTAAAACATCGTCGTTAAAACATTACCGCCATCTGTTGAGTACACTGTGGTGGGTAGTACGCTGAACAGATGGCGGTAGTGTGGAAACGTCAAACGCAAGGGAATTGACTAAGCGCGCCACAGGTGGCGGTACTACCAACTAAGATACTTTTAAATTGACCGATAAATGCTTGTTCGGTGAACATCTTGCGAGTGTTATGTCTGTTTGTCTGTGGTTAAACAATACTTCAAATTTACCAGGTTACTTTGAGAATATGGTAACATCAACAGAAATGCTGTTTGGTTGGAAAACAAAACGACTAACCGTGATAATCACAGATTATTGCATGATCGCCATTTTGTAAAAAATCATGTTGCAGGTAAAAGTGGCAGCTAAAGTTGAACTATTGAAACATTCCTGGAATCATTGCTGTGGGAGAGGTAAAACTCATTAACGGTAAACAATTTTAATTTAATTAAGGTTTATTTGTGTGGAAGCAGACGAAATACCGGAACAGCAGAATTTTTACGATCAGGAGCTAGATCCATCTGTTTATGCCAATTGGTAATCAGTAACAATTATTAAATATACAATTTTTAACATTATATTTTTGACAGGCTTTGAACCACATGGAATAACGGACACAAACATGCACTATGATAAAAGCACAAACGAAGTGACAGACGGAGCGGCTCGAAAACTTTGGTGACTAACCTGCTATTTCAATTTTTCAGTGTACTACATGGTAACACCACTACTACTGGATTGTACTAGCATTTTCACCAAATGTATTAGAATGTTTTGTTTCTATCTCTTTCACTCTACTCAAAACTGAAATGCATAAAAAGATGACAAAATGACACACTATCTTTGCACACTGTCAAAGAATCATTATACACAAAATCAACTTTGTACAAATCAAAACAAAAAAACTAACCCATCTGGTGGATGATGGCACAAGCTTCCAAGAAAATTCTATTACCACAGACAAACAGACGTAACTCTTCATTGTGTATCTTCGTTCATGCATTTAACGGTTGATTTAAATATTATCAGTTCCGCGAACTACTCACCGCAGCGCTGGCATCGGATCACTTTGACGTTTCTATATATTCCATAGAACTTTTATGCAATATTGTTTACGAGTTAGCGAGCAAGCTTGTTTTCCGCGAGAAGCCAGAGAGATGTCGTTACTGAGGTTATATGTTTTGAGATACTATGTTTTCAAGAACAAGTTTTTCTAAGAGTTACGTCTGTTTGTCTGTGCTATTACAGTGAACCACATTATTTTAATGGATTTCTTCGCCAGTTAGCCGTCTGTCACTTCGTTTGTGATAAAAGTGTCGTGATCTGACCGACACCGCCTTCCTGCAATCCTGCTAAATCTCTGCCGGGGTCTCGGGATCAATCCACCACCATTGCTCAACCAGGACCATTCAGTGTGTGTGTGTTGTGCAGAGTATTTCAAAATTATGATTATATTCTAAATTGCTTCTCAGAACAACTTTTTTTCTGAGATTTCAATTTAATAGAAATTTTCATAAATGATGAAATTTTTTATTTGATTGGAATCTACAAAGAGGTCGAAAGTCTCAAAGCAATGCAATTTTATTTTCGCGGTAGGAATTACTACATAAATATGGTTAACAATAATATTCTCAATAGTAGTAGAATTAACTGAAATTTCGTTTACTACAACAATAATTTATGTTGTAGTTGATGCATTCACTTTTGTTTTGTTTATACTAGAAGAATGGTTCACCGTACTACGCCAACGTTTTTGACGCAGCATGGTAACATCCGCAACAGTTGTATTCATTTCAAATACAATATTCGTTCTACCGAAATTTAGTGGTACTTTGTTTTCATTTTTAACCTACGAAATAGTAGTGGTTACCATGGGACTGTTTTCAGTGTAGTGCCAATCACCGACGGACATCGATTGCTACCCTAATAAACAAATACTATAAACAAACTGTATCTCAGATGGGTAAAACTATCCCACAAATGGTTTGGATGATACCCCGAATACGTCGTTAAGCTCTCTTTTATGGTTATTTTTATTAGGGCATCCATTGACGGCAATCGAATGTGCAGGAAGGCAGCTTCCACACCTGCATAAGATATCCCACACATTCATCAATACACATGGACCGGGACCAAAGGCTTATTTTGCTTCCATTCCGAAGAAAGACATGACCAGAGATTTTTATGGACCTTATTACGGGTGTCACTACACGGTGATAAGGAATAAGAGCCGTGATTGCCGTACAAATCAAATGGAAATAACTTCACCGTGATGACAAGTGACAAGTTTTCACCGTTAAGTGACATCCGTAATAAGCCACTATTGATGAATCTACGTTACGGTCGGTCTGCAGATGGAAATGATGTGAAAATGATAATGACGTTTTGCTAGCTGTCAAATCGTATGGAATATTTTTTAGTACATCATCACTTTTGTGGTTTTGGATTTCAAACCAAGGTGTCGCATGCACTGGTGCAGTTTCGCGTAGATTCATCAATTAATCATGTTTTGTTGTTTTTGACATCATCCACATCCAGAGGGCCAGTCACTTTGAATGAATGGGAATGGTAGGAAACCATTTGGAAATGCATGAGAATTTTCAGTTTTTATTTATTATCGTCTTAATGGGCAGTTTTAGATGCACAAAAATTGCACGAGTACATTACAATGGTGATAAGGTAAACACTCGTTTATTTGTTTCCTTCTGTGAAAGCATGTTTAGTCACAAATCGTGGATTTTCTGATATTCTCCATACTGCAAAAATGATTTTCCTACCACTGAAGGGGCGACATCTCTCGGATCTTCAGTATAGCTACTACTCAAATCATATAATTAATTGCCTCAGAAAAATCCCACCGATCTCGGCTGGGATTGAACCCACACTCATTGTGGTAAGAAAGCAGTCACGCTTATCACCACACCACCAGCGCCTTTGAAACAGCTTCGTCCTAAAAAGCTACGTCATTTATGTATAGACCTATATTGATGAATCTACGTTACGGTCGTCCAGCAGGTGGAAATGAATGATAATGACGTTTTGCTAACTGTCAAATCGTATGGAATATTTTTTAGTACATCATCACTTTTGTGGTTTTGGATTTCAAACCTAGGTGTCGCATGCACTGGTGCAGTTTCGCGTAGATTCATCAATAAGGTAAAACGTCAAACGTTGTACTAAAAGTATTCTATGTTTTCTGATAAGCATTTTCAACGAATTCTATTTACATCATTCTAGTACTGTGTGTTCACAGAAATTCAAAACAACCCAAAATTAAGTTCTTTTCACTCATCTCCCATGTTCCGTACGATAAGCCAAATTTGGGTAAACCGGCTCAAAGTAGTTTGCATTTAAGCACGGCAAAAAAAATTACCCATCGCTAAATTATTTTCAATTTTTTCTACCCAAAATTAAGTTCAATTAACTCAAATTTGGGTATATCGCATATTACTCAATTTTGGCTTCTCGTACGGAACTAGACGGTTGAGTCGAATCTTTCGTTCTATTTTTGACAACAATAGCGAGAGGAAATGAAACGGGCAGAGGTCAAATAACTCAAATATGAGTTTAAAAAACCCAAGCGGTGGGTAGTTTTGTTTTTCTGTGTTGGTTGCTGTTTTGGGCAAAACGATGCTGGAACCTTTGCGTTTTAAATGTATTATAATTATTTCGTGGGAATTTCTTTCGAGCGAATTACGCTTTCGTTCGGTTCCAATTTACCTATTGATGTATTGTTGTTGGTATTGATCTGTTCCATGTACCGCAACTAAAGCTGTTACAATTAAATAAGCCGATTTCACACACTTGTTGTAACCGGCGGCTCGTGAAGAATCCCGCTTAGGAGCATTTAGCGAATAATTTATAAACTACAACTTACAGGGCTTAGTTTGTAAGAGCTTCCAGGGCAGCCACCACATCGCCTCGGTGCACCCGAAGAGTTTCCTCTGCCTTCTGTCGGGAGATTTCCATTTCTCGGATCTGAAAAATCAAATCAAATGAAGACTGGAACATCCAAAAGACGTCGAAACAGGCAATCTTACAATCAGCTCAATATCTTCTTTCTTGACGTGCACCTTCTGCAGTTCCTGTTCTTTGGCTAGCTTTTCCTCATTTTCCTTGTTTCGCTTTTCCTCGAACATACTAACCGCCTACAACCAGAGGATAAACATTGTCATTTTTTTTATTCTACGATTTGGATCTAAGATCAAGGTTATGTTCGGGCCACTTACGTTGGTGATCTCCTTCGAGCTAATTTCCTTCTCCTCTGCATAGTCGGTAACTCGTTCCAAATCAGCCGCTCCGCTGTCGTGTTTGGATGCCTTCTTCTGTTTCTGCTTATCGCCGGCCTCGTCAACACCGTTTACCTCCTCCGGATCGGTCATGGTTGTAGATTATTTTGTGGACTAAGAAAGCAGAAAACACACAAATCGACGGAACAGAAACCACGGAGAAACCGAAAATCGTCTTCTCGTGCGTGCAGAACTGCGAAAGGAATGATTGCGTGCGATGTTATTTTTTTCTGTTTGGAAGATATCTGTCAAAAAGATGACAGGGTTGCGTGTGAATCAAGCACACGGAAACATGAATAATATATATCCTCCACTGATAAATTAAACTATTCTCGTTTTGCTTAAAATTTGATCAATTTGACATTAAAGCTTAATCATATCGAATGATTAAAAATTAATTATCTCTTACTAAAAACTAATCATTTGATATTAAACCTACTTACCTTACCAATCAGGCTAAGGCCTTGTTGTCCTCTGCTGTCCGAAGAAGTCGTCTCCACTCTACTCGATCCATGGCCACAGTTCGCCAGCCTCGTAGTCTGCGAAGGGTCCGCAGGTCACCTTCTACTTGGTCGATCCACCTTGCCCGCTGCGCGCCTCTTCTTCTTGTTCCTGTTGGGTCGCTTTCTAGAACCATTTTCACTGGGTCGTCGTGCGGCATTCTTACGACGTGCCCAGCCCACCGTAGTCGCCCAATTTTTGCAATGTGGACGATGGATGGTTCTCCCAGCAGCTGGTGCAATTCGTGGTTCATTCGCCTCCTCCACGTTCCGTCATCCATCTGCACTCCACCGTAGATGGTACGCAACACCTTCCGTTCGAAAACACCAAGGGCGCGTTGGTCCTCCACGAGCATAGTCCAGGTCTCGTGGCCGTAAAGGACCACCGGTCTAATCAGCGTCTTGTAGACAGTCAACTTCGTGCGGCGGCGAATTTTATTCGACCGGAGCGTCCTCCGGAGTCCAAAGTAGGCACGATTCCCTGCCATAATGCGTCTTTGAATTTCTCTGCTGGTATCATTTTCGGCGGTCACCAGTGAGCCCAAATACACGAACTCATCGACCACCTCGATTTCGTCACCGTCAATCTGAACTCGGGGTGGGAGGCTAACATTGTCTTCCCTAGAACCTCTTGCTTTCATATATTTTGTCTTTGATGCGTTGATGGCAAGTCCAATCCGTCTAGCTTCAGCCTTCAGTCTGATGTACGTTTCCGCCATCATCTCAAAGTTCCGTGCCATAATGTCAATGTCATCGGCGAAACCAAGGAGCTGGATGGACTTCCTGAATATCGTGCCACTCGTGTCTATCCCAGCTCTTCTGATCACACCTTCTAACGCGATGTTGAACAGCAGACACGAAAGTCCATCACCCTGCCGTAACCCCCTTCGAGATTCAAAGGGACTCGAGAGTGTCCCCGATACTCGAACAACGCACGTCACTCGATCCATCGTCGCCTTGACCAATCGCGTCAGTTTATCCGGAAATCCGTACTCGTGCATAATCTGCCATAGCTGATCTCGATCGATTGTGTCGTATGCGGATTTGAAATCGATGAACAAATGATGTGTGGGCACGTTGTATTCGCGGCATTTCTGCAGAACCTGCCGAATCGCGAAAATTTGGTCCGTGGTAGCGCGGGCACCCATGAATCCCGCCTGGTATTGCCCCACGAACTCTCTTGCATATGGTGACAGACGGCGGCATAGAATTTGGGAGAGTACCTTGTAGGCGGCGCTCAGCAGTGTGATCGCGCGGTAGTTGCAGCAATCCAACTTGTCGCCCTTTTTGTAGATTGGGCATACGACACCTTCCATCCACTCCTCCGGTAATATCTCCTCCTCCCAAATCTTGGCAATTACCCAGTGCAGCGCTCTAGCCAGTGCTTCACCACCGTATTTCAATAGCTCACTTGGTAGTTGATCTACACCAGTTGCTTTGTTGTTCTTCAGCCGACCGATCTCCTCCTCAACTTCTTGAAGATCAGGGGCCGGTAGCCTGTCGTCTTCTGCGCGTGCTCCAAGGTCTGTTGCCGTGCCACCTTCGTTTTCTGCTGCTTCACCGTTGAGGTGCTCGTCATAGTACTGCTTCCACCTCTCAATCACCTCACACTCGTTCGTGAGAAGGTTACCGTCCAAGTCCTTGCACATATCGGCTTGCGGCACGTAGCCTTTGCGCGAACTATTTAGCTTCTCGTAGAACTTCCGTGTGTCGTTTACGCGGTACAGATTTTCCATCGCCTCGCGATCTCGATCTTCCTGCTGACGCTTCTTCCTTCGGAAAACCGAGTTTTGTCTGTTCCGCGCTTGTCTGTATCGCTCCACATTCAATCTCGTGCGGTGTTGCAGCATTCTCGCCCGTGCTGCATTCTTCTCCTCTACTAACAGTTTGCATTCGCCGTCAAACCAGTCATTTCTTCGGTCCGGGATTGCAGTACCTAGTGCCGCTACAGCAGTACTACCTATGGCTGAACGGATGTCCCTCCAGCCATCTTCAAGAGAAGCTGCGCCAAGCTGCTCTTCCGTGGGTAGTGCAACTTCCAGCTGCTGCGCGTAGTCCTGGGCAACTCCGGTGTCCCGTAGTTGCTCAATGTTGGGTCGTGGCGTTCGACTTCGACGTGTGTTATGCACCGTCGAGAGTTTTGAGCGCATGCATACTGCAACTAGGTAGTGGTCCGAATCTATGTTCGCACTGCGGTACGTGCGGACGTTGATAATGTCGGAGAAGAATTTCCCGTCGATTAGAACGTGATCGATTTGGTTTTCTGTGTGTTGGTCAGGTGATCTCCAGGTGGCTTTGTGGATATCCTTGCGGGGGAAAAAGGTACTTCGAACTACCATACCCCGGGAGGCTGCAAAGTTCACGCATCGTTGGCCGTTGTCGTTCGATACGGCATGCAGGCTGTTTGGCCCGATTGCCGGTCTATACATTGCCTCCCGTCCTACCTGAGCGTTCATGTCGCCGATGACGATTTTGACGTCCCGTTGCGAACAGCCGTCGTACACCTGCTCCAGCTGCGCATAGAACGCTTCTTTCTCGTCGTCGGGTCTCCCTTCGTGTGGGCAGTGCACGTTGATGATGCTGTAGTTGAAGAAACGGCCCTTAATCCTCAACTTGCACATCCTCGCGTTGATCGGCTGCCAACCAATCACGCGTTGGCGCATCTTACCCAGCACTACAAAGCCGGTTCCCAGCTCGTTGGTGGTGCCACAGCTCTGATATTAAACCTAGTCTGATTAAATTGAAATTTATCTTATTTTAATTAAGTTTTAATCAATTTTGATTTTATTTTAATCATTTTTGATTGAATTGAACTCTGTAACAATTTCGATTTACTGAGTTTAATAGTTTAATCAGAAAAATGCTGCCAAATATAGAAATTCTTTATTGCTGAAAATCAGTAAAGAAATATAGTTGAAATATTTTCGGATTTTCAGTAAAAGGTTGTCATTTTGACAGAAGTTGGAATCAAGGTTTTTTTTTTTTTTTTGTTAATTACTTTATTTGTACAGGCTCAATTGAATAAACTTTACAGAGCCAAGTCATCATTTTCTTTATACATTATAAATGTCTTAAATCTAAAATTAAAGGATTGGAACCGATTACTCGCGGTCTTCTCGAGATTAGTGGATGACAATTGTTTGGATCGGGAGAGGGAAAAGGAGATTTGGAATATGATTTATGATTCAAAAATTTCACTATTTCTAAAAGATATACTTAGGATTATATCGACGTTATATCAACTCTGTAATTATACAATTATTACCGAAACAAATCTACAAAAAAAAATACACACACACATACAAAACACAAACTAAACACAAGGTTAATCAAACTTACAATCTATGATTAATATTCTTCAAGAAAACATATATTGGAATCAAGGTTGCAAATACTCATTTCAGTTAAAACAATGTTTGTTTTTTAATTATGAAATAATTAGATGTTATGATCATATTTTGAATTGGTAAGATACAAGAAGAGGTTGCAAAGAATGTATTTGACATATTAAACCTGTTTATTTCACTTCATGAGAGTCACAATCAGCGATTTTTCACACACTCACTCACTCACTCACTCACTCACTCAATCAGCGATCAGCAAATCACTGATTGTGACAGGTTTACAGGTTTAATGTTTCAAACGTATACTTTGTACCCTCTACTTGTAAGTTACAAGTAAAACATGTCATCATACCATCTTTTGGTTTTATTATTCCGAAAAACATCATTTTAGCTGAAATGAGTATTTGCAACCTTGGTTGGAATTACTGAAAAAAAAAAACAAGCATTATTTTGCTGGAACGTTTGCTGATCTACATAATTTGTAGTTTTTTACCTCCTGCGGTGTGGACGGATTTGTGCGAATGCAAAATACTTGCGAGTGTGATGCTATCAGTTTGAAAGCTCTTAACTGGGTAGCCAGCAATCGTTTATGTTAGGTGAATTTCTCGGTAAAAATATCGTTTGCTGTTTTTCAGTAAAGCATTTGATTGCTGATATTGCAAACTTAAATTTGGTGTGTATGTGTACATAAATATACATCTGTAAATTTGAGTCACTTTAATCATTTTTGACGTAGGACTACGTCTTTGATTTCTATATGGGGGTACACTTTGTGAAAACCGAAAATGGAACATGTAACAAATTAAGAAAGATTTTGAACGTTAATAACTCAGCTGCCCCTGGTCCAATTTCAATAATTTCATCACGAATCGATCAGAAATATGGCTACGCATAGATAACAATGTTTCCGAATGTTGATTTTTAACAAGAAACTATTGAAAAACTGGTAAATGTCCAGCATTGTCCAAAAGCATCGAATTAACTAACAAATCCACCAATTACCTACATGCATATGCTGCTTCCCCAGCACAGTCGTCAGAGATTAGTAAGTAGACGAAACTAGTCGAAACGGCATTCACCTCCGATCCTCGAGCGCGTGCAAATAGGGAGGATGGAATTGCGTAATATTTTGCACACTCATCGCCATAATCAGAACCAAACGCAAATTCTTCAAGATAACCACCATCCGGTGTCTGGCTCGCCGTGGCGGTGTCTGACGTATCTCCGGTTTGATTTACGAGGTGTGCTGAAGGTGTTCCTAAAAAATGAGATCCGTGATGCTGTCACCTACACTAAACACGCCAAGCGTATGCGGCCATGGATGACATCTACGTTTTTGAAGTGACTGAGACGCACTCTGTTTGGTTTCGGAGGTTAAATCATCACCAACTTTGGAAACAAAACGGCTCTTTTCAGGGCCACCAAGCTTATCTTAGTAAAGAGTAGGAATAGAATTCATCTGCCTGTTTGTCCATATTCAGAACCAACGATCACACAAAATGCTCATGTAATCAAACTGGAAGTAGGGGTACAAATTATTTTGATCAACCTTGATCAACTTTGAATCGCCATGGCCGGATATTTTCGATGGAAGAAGCAACAATTTAGCATCTAATTCGACGAAGACGGCAAGAAACATTAAAACAAAAATTTTGTGAAGCCGAGTTATTTACGAAAGAGAGTGTCGATGAAGAGAATCGATCAATTGAAAAGTGACGCGAGATTTGTTTTCCGTACTGAGCTCCAATGCTACCGACGCCAGGGAGGCAGCTCCCAGAGATGTTATGCCTTAGAACATGCCGGTGGCACCGACTGAGATTGGACCCAGGCCTGCTGGGGTGAGAAGTAATCACGCTAACCACCGGCGCCGATATCTATCACGGCGAATGAGAACGACCCAAATTTGAGTTTAGTTATCTCAGAAATAAGAAATAAAGTGCAGGAACTCAGCGATGAGTAAATTTGCCTCATGTTTTCCCAGGATTTTCCAGGGAAAAATTACCGAATTTGAGAAAAGTAAAAATTGGATTCACTCAGTCTATCAATTTTATAATTCGTCAATTTCCTCATTTTCTGTCAGATTTTTTAGGTTTTCCACAGGAAACCATGAGACAAATTTACTCATCGCTGAGTTCCTACACTTTTGGCGATTATGAGTGAACTAAACTCAAATTTGGGTCGTTCTCATTCGCCGTGTACGCAAAAAGAAAATAGCCAGTGTCGATACTTGATAACAAACTACTCATAATGGGAGGAGTCTTTGTAGCTTTTATTGACGAGTGCACGGATGGATTTGAGTTCACTCACTCGACAAAAAGTGACACAACAGCGGGGCCCTGTTTACTAAAAATGAACACATATGTGCACTCGTCAATACCACTTGGTTGCACATCATTCTGCTTTAACCTAAAAAGATATAAAGCAGCGCTGCTGTCTGGTATCAGCTCATTTTCGCTTCGGACGGCGTGGTCAGCAATAGCAGCAGTAGGAAGGTGGTTAGTCCACTTTTCTATAACCTAACAAGCAACAATTGACTGGTCGTGGCAAAAGAGGTGCCAACCGTCATCGCAAATTCTTCGAGATAACCACCATCCGTCGTCTGGCTCGCCGTGGCGGTGTCTGACGTATCTCCGGTCTGATCTACGAGGTGTGCTGAAGGTGTTCCTGGAAAATGAGGTCCGTGACCTCACTAAACACGCCAAAAGTAAGTGGCCATGGATGTCCTCTTCAATAAAACGGCCCATTTAAGGGCCATCAAGCTTACATCGGTAAAGAGTTGGAATAGAATTTATCTGTGCTTGTTTGTCCATATTCAGAACCACAAGCCCCCAACGCAACGACCACACAAACTTGGAAGCAGGGGTGCAAGTGATTTTGATTGATTCTCGTAATCAACTTTCTCTTTGAAAAAGATTACTACAAATTTGGTACGCCTACAATTCAAAAACGGAAAGAGTTGATAAAATAGATATTTGATCAATTAAAAGAACTTAATGCTCTTCACATATTCCGTCCACTAGCGGTGCTACGTCAAGCTTCCGTTCGTGCCTCAGGCACAGACCCTTCTACTTTTTTTTTTTTCTATTTTAGTCACTTTGAACATTCCTAATAATAAAAAAAATACCAGGTTTGTCGAGAGAGACTTCGATGAGAACACTCTGGAATGTCGGCAGGAGAATGCGCAACGCGTCATCACCGGTCAACGAAGACAAGGAGTACTCAGACAGTTGGATATTCAGCTTCGCGCAGAAAGTTTGCCCGGATTCGGTGTCGGTTCAAACCAACGTTCGTGGTAGTCCGTCGGGTAGTAACGAAATAGATTCTCCGTTTTCGATGGTGGAATTCTCACTTGCTCTCCTCTCATGTAACAACTCAGCTCCAGGAATGGATAGAATCAAGTTCAACTTGCTCAAAAATCTCCCAGACGTCGCGAAGAGACGCTTGTTGAACTTATTCAATCAATTTCTGGAGCACAACATTGTTCCGGATGATTGGAGGCAAGTAAGAGTTATCGCCATTCGAAAACCCGGTAAACCCGCGTCGGATTATAACTCGTACCGTCCCATCGCGATGCTGTCCTGTATACGGAAATTGTTGGAGAAAATGATTCTTTTTCGTCTAGACAAATGGGTCGAGTCGAATGGTTTACTTTCAGATACGCAATTTGGATTTCGGAGAGGCAAAGGAACGAGCGACTGTCTTGCGTTGCTTTCAACTGAAATTCAACTGGCCTATGCGCAAAAACAGCAAATGGGTTCAGTTTTCTTGGATATTAAGGGGGCTTTTGATTCTGTTTGTATCGATGTCCTTTCGGATAAACTCCACGATAGTGGGCTTTCACCAATTATGAACAACTATTTGAGCAACTTGTTGTCTGAGAAATATATGAGCTTTTCTCATGGAAACTCGACAACTTCACGAATTAGTTACATGGGTCTCCCCCAGGGCTCATGTTTAAGCCCCCTTCTTTATAATTTTTACGTTAAAGACATTGATGGTTGTCTTGATGAAAATTGCTCGCTAAGGCAGCTTGCAGATGACGGCGTTGTGTCCGTTATAGGGCCAAGTGCGGACCTGCAAGGACCATTGCAAGATACCTTAGACAATTTGTCTACTTGGGCTATGAAGCTGGGTATCGAATTCTCTCCGGAGAAAACTGAGTTGGTTGTTTTTTCTAGGAAGCATCATCCTGCACAGTTACAGCTTCAACTAAAGGGTAGAACAATCACTCAAAGTATATCTTTCAAGTATTTAGGTGTCTGGTTCGATTCCAAATGCACATGGGGAAAACATATTGCGTATCTAAAACAAAAATGCCAACAAAGAATCAACTTTCTTCGTACAATTACCGGAACTTGGTGGGGAGCACACCCGGAAGATCTTATCAGGTTGTATCGAACAACCATCTTGTCGGTTCTAGAGTACGGTAGCTTCTGCTTTCAATCCGCGGCGAAAACACATATCTTGAAGCTGCAACGAGTTCAATACCGTTGCCTCCGAATCGCGCTTGGCTGTATGCACTCGACGCATACGATGAGCCTCGAAGTACTCGCGGGTGTTCTCCCACTGACAGATCGTTTCGCTGAGCTGTCTTTCCGGTTCCTCATCCGTTGTGAAGTATTGAATCCTTTGGTAATAGAACACTTTGAGAAGCTGCTCGACCAAAATCCTCAAACAAGATTCATGAGTTTGTACTATGAGTACATGACGCTGGAGGTTGGTCCTTCTTCATTAATCTCCAATCGTGATTGCTTCCAAGCCTTCTATAGTTCCTCTGTAAATTTTGATCTGACCATGATGCAAGAAATCCATGGAATACCAGATCACCATCGGTCGATGGTTGTTCCCTCAATTTTTGCAATCAAGTACCACCATGTAAGTAACGATAAAAGATTTTTCACAGATGGGTCAACCATAAATGCTTCCACTGGATTTGGTGTATTTAATCAATTTCATAGCGCCTCCTATAAACTGCAGAAACCATGCTCCGTATACGTTGCGGAACTCGCAGCTATATTTTACGCAGTAGAGCGAATTGCCTCACTACCTTCTGACCATTATTTCATTTTTACGGATAGTCTTAGCTCATTGGAGGCTATTCGTTCAATGAGGCCGATGAAGCACTCCTCGTATTTCCTGCCTGAAATACGATCTAAACTGAGTGCTTTATCTAACTGCTCCTATACTATCACCTTAGCTTGGGTCCCATCTCATTGCTCAATTCCGGGTAATGAGAAAGCGGACTCATTGGCTAAGGTGGGCGCTATGGAAGGCGATATTTTTGAGCGACAAATCGCCTTCAACGAATTTTTCTCCATTGCTCGCCAGCAAGTCCTCATCAGTTGGCAACAAAAATGGAATGATGGTGAATTGGGAAGATGGTTACATTCTATTCTCCCACAGGTGTCGAACAAACCATGGTTCAAAGGGTTGGACATGAGCCGCGACTTTATACGCGTTATTTCAAGGCTTATGTCCAATCACTGCTCGTTAGACTCGCACTTCTATCGAATTGGGCTCTCAGGCAGCAATTTATGTGCGTGTGGCAGTGGTTATCACGATATCGAGCATGTTGTTTGGTCGTGTACCTTACACCGTGTTGCCAGATCTGAGTTATCCACATCCCTCAGGGCCCGAGGAAAACAACCCGCGATACCCGTTAGAGATGTCTTGGCGAGCCGAGACCTTGACTATTTGAATTTAATTTATGTGTTTTTAAAACGGATAGATTTGAGGATTTAGAAGTTAGTGTCATCTTGTGTTCTCCCAAGTTGTTAGCTACCCATCGGTGTACCCCCATGTTTGTCTTTTTCATCAGAGTGTCGCCTAGTTCGAGATCAAGAGCACATTGCTCTCCAAACCTTGTGTTCACAATCCCTACCCTGCCATCCATTTGTTACAATTTGTTACCCCTAACCTCGAGATAGCTGCGAGTAATCGGCCCCCGCTTTACTAACGTTAGTTTTAAGTAATTTTGTTATCTAAACAATGAATATCGGCTCCGCAAAGCTACAGCAAATGAGCCTGGAAAAATAAACGAATTATTAAAAAAAAAAAAAAAAAAAAAAAATACCATACCCGAACGATAACCCAAACCTGAACGATAACCAAGCTCTTCAACAAATGGTTTGGATGATACCCTGAACACGTCGTTAACCAAAATAACCATGCAAGTCGCTTTCTATTTTTCTAAAAAAAATTAAATTTTTCTGATAAATACTTGCATAACGTTCACCCCTGCAGCAAGCGTTACTTTTCGTGCGGTAAACAAATTTGACAGTTCGCAAGCAGCCGGTCGGTTCTCAAAACGTAAATAAACTTTTCGAGAGAAAAGGTTTTGGTAGAATTTTCCGAAAAATAATTAACTTTTCAACCCATTAAAACGTTTCAAGTGACTCTAAAATGTCGGCGGCATTCAAGTTAGCAAAGAAGAAATACACGCAGCAAGATCTGCGGCGTATCATGCACGAAACGAAGGCCAACAGTGCAAAAGCACCGACGGAATCCACCTCCAAGAGGATCGAATCGCCACTAGCAAAATATCCTTTTCAATTTATCCTTGTACCTTAATATTAAATAATTTTTATCCGCCAGCAACAAACATATTTTTCTTAACTTAATCATTCCAATCTTCACGTACAACGATGCAGGGCAGCTCTCGTGCATCCTGTGCAGTTCGGTGGTCCGTTCGGAAGCCGTCTGGAAGGTTCACGTCAACTCCAAACAGCACAAGGAAAGCATCGAGCAGGCAAAGCAGCTGAAGGAGAAAGCAGCCCAATCCGCTACTACCATCGCACAACCTCAGAAGACACCCACGGTCGACGCCACCGCCAGCGTCGCCGTAGCGACACCCTCAGCCTTCAAGCGACCTTCCTCTCCCGGTCCACGGGAAACAGCCAGCAATAAGAAAATCAAAGGCATTCTAAAAAATTCCGCCTCCGTTGATCAGTCGCTGCCGGCAGACTTCTTCGACTCGGGTGCCAAAATTAACAAGGATCTGGTCAACATTCGTTTGCCGGGAAGGTCCGGTGCGGGGAAGGATGACCAAGCGGAAGCAGCACCGGTAGAACCGCCTCCGGACGAAGAAAAGCTACCGGAAGGCTTCTTTGATGATCCGAAGGCGGACGCCAAAGCGCGGAACATCGAGTACAAAGATCCGAACGACGAGGAATGGGAACGGTTCCAGAAAGTGATCAAAGAGGCCACCACGGAATCGCTGGCTATCATCAACGAAGAGCAGGAAGAGTCGACGGCCGAACGACAGATTAGCGAGATTGATGAGCAGATTCGGAACTGGTCGCGGGTGCTGAGTTTGGAGAAGAAGAAGGAAGAGGTGAGGCACAGGACACTGACGGCGATGGAGGTCGGCGAAAAGGCGGTTAAGGTTAAGAAGGAGGAGCAGCAAGATAGTGACGAGGAGGCGGATGATACGGAGTTCGAAGAGTTTCCCGATTGGAGGGCGAAGAAGTCTTACAAGTAGCGGGAGGGTAAGTTTATATAGAAGGAGTCTTGTTACGTTCGATGCATATGCATCTCGGAAATATCAGCGTCTAATGTATTAACTTTTTGTTTTCCTGATGTTTTGTTTAAATATCACCAATCCCTGTGGTAGGGGCTGTTCATAAACTACGTAGACAGTTTTTAAGAGGTTCTAAAAGATATTAGCAATGTCTTAATTAAAGTTAATTTTAGAACCTTGATTTTTTTTCCTTGTGATATGTGAGATCTCAATCACATACCTTACTGTTGAGTAGTTCCACGCCAAATGACCATTCGGAAAAAAAAACTCGACCTTCTGATATTTGCATGCAACTTTGCATAATTGTTTGTTATGGCCAATGATTCTTATATATTTTTTGCTAAAATTACTCCATTTTAGATCTTGAATTTTTTTTCAAAATGGCGTCTTGTAGTACGGAAGCGGCTAGATTTTTGTTTATAATATTGATACTGAAGAAGATGAAGATTGAAGATTCAGATACAACTATAGACCCAGGGGTTTAAGAAACGGCCCTCGTTAAGTAGATCCTATAGCTCATCGATTGTAATGCTACATTAATATATTTAAATCTGAAACCAGCATGCTATTGGCCACGGAACAGTCTTCTGGGAGATCTGGAACATCCGTAAAAGTGGTCAATTCGTAAAAATTATTCTAGACCTCCGGGATTTTTTTTAATAACATGTGAAGCTATATAAACTAATTTGGATGTGAGACCTATGACAATTTATTGCCCACTACGTGTTTATGATAATTTCTTCGATTATATTTTATATTTTATTGCAATACTTTTCGTGGACCTTTCATAGCATCGTAATGTTTGTTTACTTTGCACGATAGGTAGCCGGTTTGATAGTTATGATACACCGACTCTATGCTAGCCTAGTGACTTCTATGGTTGTACTCTTTTAAGCTTGTACCTCAAATTATAGTACTAGCTGGCTGCGTATAAGTAGTTAATTAGTTAACTAGCTAGGTGCGTATAATTAGTACGCTCTTACTGTGTAAATTTGTAATTGTAATTGTAATTTATTATCGTAACGTTAGCCTGTCGGTTACACCATTGCTCAGGTCAAGGAAAACACAACATTTGATTTTTAACTAAAGGAGAACAATAAGTCATTAGTGGAAGTAGCTTTCTTAGTAGGTATGTAATTCTTAAACTAGGTTTGAGATCCTGTTGAGAGAACTGTCTTGAATGCGCTGATCGTTGTCTGTCGTCGTGTTGCTAGAGGGAGCTGGTTCCAGATGATTGCACCTGCGATCATCACACTCTTCTTCTTCGATGTGGTGTGATGGGGAATCGCAAAGCAGCGGGCCCGCTCAAGCTGTCCTCTTCTCAGGTGTTGCTGCAGATAAGGTGGGAAAGTTCCTGCGTGTACCCTTGGCGAATAAAACAGCTGATTCTATTCCGGTAATTTGTGTCCAGGTCGTGTCCCAAAATAGAGTTCCTTACAGCAGCAGTGGATTCTCTGCGTCTGAAGATATAGACAAAGCGAACTGCTGCCTTGAAACAACGGTTTAGTTGATCACGGAGCGCTGATGACAGTCCAGGATAGTAAGTGACGTCACAGTAGGTGAAAAACGGCACGACCACTGCTTGCACCAGCTTAATTCGGGTTTGAACTGACAAAACTGGAGCGAATCTTCGGAGTGTCCGCAACGTTCCAAAAACTTTGGCCGTTATGTCGTTCACATGTCCATTCCACTTCAGGTTGCGATCCATCCTTAGACCAAGATTCACTACGTTGTCAGACAAAATAATGTGTTCTCCGCAGAAAACGATGTTAGTGGTTGGTGCTACCGCTCCTTCTTTGCAAAAAATAATTGCTTGCGTCTTCTTCGGGTTGGGGAAAAGAGAGTTCTGCCTGGCCCATCGCTCTATGCTTTCCAGATCGTTGTTTATGGCTTCGACGAGTTGGTCTACGTTTTGGATGGCACCAAAAATGTAGATCTGTAGGTCATCAGCGTAGAGCTGGTAACTGCATCTCAGTCCACGGGGAAGGCTATTGATGTAGAGGCTAAATAGCAAAGCGCTCAAGCACGAGCCCTGGGGTGTACCATCTATCACTGATCTCTGGGAGGACATCACATTTCCTATCCGTACCGCCTGGGTGCGATGATCGAGGAAAGAAGAGATAAGGTCGCATGCATTGTCGGTGAAAGAAAATTCCTCTCGAAGTTTTCTCTGTAATTTGCGATGATCAACACAGTTGAAGGCCAACGAGAAGTCAACCAGGACCATAACTGTACACTGCTCGTTGTCGAAATGGTCATAAATATCGTGCGTCACTTTTGCCAAAGCTGTTGTTGTGCTATGGCCCTTTCTGTATCCTGATTGGTTCAATGCAAGCAACCTGCGATCGTCCGCTTCCACGTGCCCAACAATTTGGTCGAGCAGGATCTTGTCGAGAATCTTGGAGATGGCAGGGAGAACACTAATTGGCCGAAAGTGTTTAGGTTCAGTCGGATTTGTTACCTTTGGTATGGGCGTGATGAGACCTTTTTTCCAGACGGCAGGGAACGATCTGGCATCAATCACCGCATTGTACAGGTGAACCAGTACAGGCAGTACAAACGGGACCAACATCTTAACGAATGAGATAGGGATTCCATCTGAACCTGCAGCGTTGGTTTGAACTTCCATAATCTTGCGTGACACTTTTTTGGCTGTAGTCCTTCGGAATTCGAACTGCATCCCACCACGGTCCGTAGCGGTACGGTGCGCCGGTTCAACTTCTGCTCTATTGTCAGTCACAAGCAGTCGATGTCCCTCGCAGAAGAAACGGTTCATCTCATCAGGATCAGCATGTTCAGCGGCAGCGTTCTTCTTGGCGTTGTTATGCACACCCTCATGCCGGAGGTTGCTCCAAAACTTTTTTGCAGGGAGGTTGTGTGCAAAATGTGTTTCCCCGTATCGCTTCTTTGCTGCTGAGATCAACGATGCTGCCTTACTGCGTTTTCGTACGAAGTCGTTCCACTGATTGTCGTTCCTTCTCCTGTTGGGATTTCGCGTGTAGAGTGCGTGTGCTAGGTCTCTCACGGCAATCGCCCTTTCAATTTCTGTTGTAATCCATGGCGTACGTGCATCTTTTACAACAATTTCACGTTCAGGAGCATGTCTGTCCATTAGGTTTTGCAGTTTGGTTGTTATTGTCTGTGCTTTAGTGTTAACGTCGTCGGTGTTGAGTGCCTCTCTGAAGTCCATTGTTTGGAAGTCTGCCTGAAGTGCAACAACATCAACATTACGGAAATTTCTGACCATAATACGCTGAGGTGCTGCTTTTCTAACTTTAACGTCGGAGATCACGAAGATGATCTCATGATCTGAGAGGCTCGAGGATTTTGTCTTAGCTGTACGTATAGATTCAGGACTGTCTGTGATGAGTAGATCGATTGTCGTTGAACTTCTTCCTGCTATTCTTGTGGGTGGTGTTGGTAGGATGGTGGAAGGCATCGTGAATACGGATGATCGATCTCAGATTTCCTGATGACTGTTGAGCAGTGACGTTGATGTTAAAGTCTCCGGCAACGAAGATTCGGTCGAAGGCGAAATCCTGGACATCGAAAAGGAGCTTCTCGTACTCTCGTGCAAAATGCGGGTTCGAAACGGAGGGATTGTAGATGGTGACGATTCCAATGTTGAGATCGTTGATTTTTACCTTAACGACGAGATACTCGAACCTTTGCGCTAGAAACACGTCTGGATCGTATGTAGATTTGAGTACTGGGGTTGCCGTCAGACCTTTCAACACGTAAATCCCGTTTCCTCCACAGGATTTGCTTCCACGGCCTCTGTTGGATGGTAATGAATGTTTCACGAAGTTGTAAGCTGGTACACGGGCTGGTCCAACAGGTGCAGAGGATTTTAGTTTCGTTTCCGTGACTGCGAAGAAGTGGTATTCCGTCCTGTGAAGCAGTAGTTTGAGCTCGTCGTGTGGCTTTCAAGTCCTCGTACGTTTAGATGTCCAAGTCGTAGATTAGAGATGTTATTGTTCGGCATATTCGTTGGAGATATTCGTATTTTGAGAAAGGTTAGCGTGTGGTGGGTGGTCATTGTTGGGATGATACGTCTGCAGACAAGGCGTCGAAAAACACTGAGGACTCATCTATGCTGGCAACAGTCCCAGTTAGCTTGAGCAATTCGTTGCAGTTCATTATTTGAACGTAACGCTTCTGTCCGGCCAGCCGCACAGATATCTTATCGTTTCGGACGAAAATGGACTGCACTATTTTCTTTTGCTTCAGCCTCAGGGCCAGGTTGCGGATGCGGAAAGCTTGAATGGAGAGCATTTCATTTACTGTGAAGCGATATTCTAGTGGGGCTGCGGATTTAAGGTTGCATAACTTGGCGTCTTTGTGCTTTTCGAAGTAGCGTTTGAGAACTAGCGATCTTATCTCTCTGCTATTGAAAGCGACAAGCACCGTGGGGCTGAGGCTTCGGTCAGTTCATTTGGAAGGCTTTACTGGAAGTCGGAAGCAAGCTGTTACGTGCGACATATGTTCTTTAATGCCAAGGAAGCAGAGAAAATCATCTACAATGGAACGAACGTTCTCGCCAGGGCGAAAAGGAACCTTGTTAATGGCTATCCGACAGCAGTTCACACTTTGTGAACAGGTGTTAGCGAGTTTCGCACCTGTTTGGATTAATTCTAACTTCTCCTCAATGTTCCCAACTAGAGTGCTGCAAGATGTTCTCCTGCTCTCCAACTGGTCGATCGTTTGCAGCTTGTTTTGGACGCGGTCTATCTGTTTTTTCATATTAGATTGAAGCAGCTGCAGATCGGATTGCAGCTTCCTTAATTCCATGCTGAGTTCGTCGATTCTCTTCTGAGCCTCTTCACACTTTTCAGTGGAACTGGTCTGTTGGGCTTTGGGCAGCAGCGATCCGATAATCGAACACTTCTTGCATAGATAGATATGCTCTGTTACGACGGCTAAGAGGGCCGGATTGATCCGCACACATACAGTATGGAACCACTTATTACAGGAGTCACAGCCGATCCATCCAATT